AGTGTGTGAAGAGGACTCTCCATTTACATGCACAAACTGGAGTCTATTAGATAGATATGATACAAACCACTGCAGCACAGTAGCTGTAATACCTGCATCTGGGCTGTATTCGTTCTTTACCGCCAGAGGACACCATTGGCTCTTTGTTCTCATGCTATTCAGGTGAGGAGCGCCCTGCTGGGGGAAGTGGAGGAGGCGAGAAGGAGCTGGGAGGCGGAGCGTTGTCGCTTCCAACACGAGATTCTTGAGCTGAGAGGAGCAAAGAGGAATGCTGAGGAGGCGCTGACATCGGCTCAGCAGGCCTGCCAGGCCAGAGCAGCCGAGCTGCGATCAGCTCATCATCAACACCAAGAGGAGCTTAACAGGACCAAGAGAGACTGTGAGAGAGAGATTCGCCGCCTGGTAGGAGCCTGTGACGCACACATGACTGTTTACACACTCATGATAGCTACACGTAACCAGGCGCTGTGTGTTGGCCGAGCGGCTCATCTGCTAATCAGAAGGTCGGTGGTTTGGATACTGAAGCGTCTGACATATCACAAACGTGGACAGCTTTACTATTAGCATTACAACTAAAGGTAAACCTAGAAAATATAAAGAGGTTAAACACAGAAGACAGAATGAAAGAAACACAGCTGCTGCACACAGCACTTGTGTGCTGTATGAGCATAATCGGCCAGCTGCAGCTGCTTCGGCCTCATCCCGTGCAACATCTAAGGTGGGTAGATGATCGAAAGTCCTCCGCCATGTTGCTCGGGGGCGGGAGTTGGCGTAAAATGTGACCTCCAAAGCATGTGAGCACGTGTGTGCTCTAAACACTTTGTTCAGTATAATTGGAGAAGGTCTACTAAAATAATAAAGTTCAGCTCATTTGAAGACAGGAGACTAAAAATGGCGACTGTAAGTAAACAGATTTATCAGATCACAGCTCTGTCGTTAACACACAGTAGAATTTGATGGGTTAGAATTGAGTGTCTCACTATATTAATGTTTAAAGACAATTTTAGTTGTTTATTCTTCCACTGCAGGTTTGGTGGAGTTGTGTAATGTTCTGATGAAAAAATAAAAACAGAATTTAAATGTAGAATTAGACTTCCTGCAGATTTATGCTTATTAAAAACTCAAAAATGAAGTCCCGGTTAAGATGAAATTCCCAACTGCTGTGACTCTGGAAACATGGGAATCATCAATCCAGCGGCGTTTTTTTAAATAGAAAACGAGCGTGAAGGGTCGTTTTCTGTTTGGATGCAGAGTTTAAACCTGACCAAAGCATTGAGCAAGCGGCTGTCGTTGTGCAGTCAGTTAAAAATATTAAACCATAGACATCGTGCAACTTGTCTCTGAATAAGATGAAAAATGTGAAACTGGCAGATGAATGAGCCACTAAAACTGGAGCGTTCCTCTGGTGGCCTCTGATGAATAAATGCATTATTATGAAAGTGAATACATGAGTAACACGGAGTGGTACGACACAAACACTGGTGCAGTACAGAGGCTGAACACCGGCTCACTGAAACGCCGCCGGGGACAACGATGACCTAAGACATCAACCTAAGCTGCTGGCCCAACTTATTTCTCTCAAAGTTAAAAAATCTGTGATTTTATCACGTACACATTAGTAACCAGATACGGTATCACGTACAAGGTTCATGCCTCAGGCCATGGAACGAAAACTTTTCAAGATTTCATTTTGACCACTGTCCTCGGTCCCGAACCCTCCCTCACATACTTCCTTTAAGGTAGAACGGACAAATTCGCACCCCAAGACTTTGTGTGGGTGGTTACCAGGTTACACTACTCTCACCTTTTAGGTTAGTGAGTAAGTAAACGTACTGCTCGCTTACATATGATGGGGTTGGAAGTTCACAGTAAAAGCACAGATGCAAACTAGATCCAGCACCAAAGCAGCTGCACTAACATCCTGCAAAGGTTACCTGAGACATCAGCCAAAATAATTTATCATGGGCAGAGTCACAAAACTTTCTGACTCTAGCTTGTTTGTGAGCGTGTGCACCTGCAGATTTCTCTGGACAAACCCGAAGCTCAGACACTCAGTGTGCTATACACGAGTCATTCAGGTACAAAAACCACCTGCTTCATTTTACATTACAAAGACTAGAAAGTCGTTTCTGGACCTGACTCTCACTTGTGTGTTTGAAATAACCCAAGCCTCAGTTCTCACCCCTCACCTGTCTCTGATAAAACAAAGACAGCTGACTAACCTTGCGTCCTCTAATCTGTCTCGCTGTCTGTCGCTCACCTGTCCGTCTCACCTGTCTGTGTCTCACCTGACTGAAGAGAGAGAAAACCGAAGGACGTAGCTGACTAACCCCGTCTCCTCTAACCTGTCTCAATGTCTGTCTCTCACCTGTCTGTGCGCAGATGGATGAGATAAAGCTGAAGGACAGAGCTGTCAGTGTTTTGGACAAAGCCCTCGGTCTGCAGGCTGGACACGCCCACCGCCTCCAGCTGCAGACTCAGGCTGCTGAACAGCAAATTGCAGCCCTGAGAGATGCACAGAGGGCGGGGCTAAACCACCCCACTCTTAACCCTAACCCCAACAACGCTCCTCACATTGTAAGCTCCGCCTCTTCCTGCTTGTTTAAACTGCATGTGAAAAAGCCATCTCATTTGCTTCATGTCACAAAAGCCCCAGAGCTCAGGGGGAGTTCCTGTTTGTGTTGTGCTACTGATTCATGACTTATATACTGTGTCACCCTCAGCTGTGTGCCAGGCACAAGCCTGCACCAGTGCAGAAACAAAGCAGATTCAGCAACCACTGGGACTGAGCCTGTCGTCATGGCTGCGATTTATGATTGTGACTTTAGTGATACAAGCCTGCTGTATTCACCGAATATGCACAGCACCACAGACCAAGCCGCAGCAGTCAAAGACAGGATAATACCTACAGAGCAGCTGGATGCTGCTAGAGATCAGCTGTTCACAGAGAGTTAAACTGGCACAGCATCTCTCTACTGTGGTGTCTGCAGTGTTTCCCTTCACTGTTCACATAGACCAGAAGGAAGGAAGCAGTTTAGCTAAAATAATCCAGCAAACATTCCCCAATGTCAGCTCTCAGGGGCTCTGTGTATTTTTTAACATCCCACGTCAGGCTCCTTCTTCATCAACTATCAATATACTCAACATTCACTGAGCCATCCAAAAACCTGCACAGGTGTATGTGTTCAGGTGACTAATACTGGGAGGACAAACAGCATCAGGGACCACAGCAAGTACCAATACCAAGACAGTGCTGTGGTCTTGTGTTGAGACAGATTTTTAAAATGTCACAAAACTGAAGCCTAATTTTAAAAGTAGAGTGAGTGTGCACAGAAGAGGGGCCTGAAAACTGAAGGCTCTGCCTCCCATTAACTTTTAAATACTCTAGGAACAACAAGTAGGCCTGCAGAGCGAGAGCGAAGTGCTCTAATAGGGTGATATGGTACTACAAGGTCATTAAGATA